TTTGAAATGAACACATCAAAAAACAAATTTACTTTTCTGAGACTTTTTAAATTCCAGGTATTTAATGCTTTTTAAAAAGTTTAAAATTCAATTCTAACCAGGGGCTGATGATGCTGTAGTGTAACTGACTAACAAGGCAGTAGTTCAGAAGTAACAGTTGATTAATGAAATAACACCTCTACCTTTTCCTTTTATGCTTTTTTTTAACAAATGGTGAATTTGAATAAAACATCATTTGCATAGAAAGTTATGTAATGATGCCATATAGAGTATAATGATTTCCTAAAACCTTGTATTTAAAGTAACCTGAATTACAATGAGAGATAAACAGAATATTTACCCATCCCTTATGAGCTGCTGCTGATATGTAAATTTATTCTTCTACTTTGCACAAATATACTTTTGAGCTACTGCTTAAACACTTTGAGGTCCTTAGTCAAACAGTTTTAATGATGCCTCCAATATTATGAAAGTGTGACATTTGATGAATGTCTCATATAGTTTTGATATCTGGGCACATGTCAACAAAAAAAATTGAGCATTGGTTTGTCATGCAACACCTAGATAATTTATAATTTTACTGTTTATATCCATCTTGACATTTTTTATCTGCCAAAGGCAGGTTTCATTTGGAATCTTAATCTGAGATTTATTTGGTGGATCTGGAAATCATAGCTAGGGTTCCCACAGGAAATGGTCCATCTACCAACAGATTAAATGGCAGTCCTGCAGTTGTTAGGGGAGCTCTGCATTTAACACACATGCATACTCATTCAGTCAGCACTGTGGAGAAAAATTAAAGTAGTAACCCAGGTTTAGGAACAATGTAGCTAAAAAGTCCCATATTTGCTGAATGACAAAGGGTTATATAGCAGCATTTCATTTTATTATTCGTGCTTGAATTTCTTGTTTGCTTTGTTGAGTCTGCTGACGAATACTAATAAATGCCTGCAACAATCCAGACGAGAGATGCCTGGCAACAAAGCTATGCGGTGGACCTCCCTGATCTTCTCCAGTTCACAACCTGACCTTTTGAAAAATTGGCTGGGCTAAGCTGCAGAATTTGGGTGTAATGGTTATTGTTAACTCCAGCTTTAGGATTTATTAATTTGTGTGATCAAGACTTACCTATACTTCAAAGTTTCAAAAGACCAAACACAATCATCCATCCATTAGAACTAACATTATGTTTCAGTGATTCCTGCTTAGTGTCTGACTGGTGATTCTTCTGTTTTGTTTTCTGAATCTAAAGATGATCTTAAACAAAATGAAACACACATAAAGAGAATCTTTTTTTTTTCTCTTAATACTTATTACTGGAAAATTTGTCTTCCATAAGTTATTTACAAAATTGTTGAGTTCATAGACAGTTGGTATATGTTCATATTAAAATAAAAATATGTACTTGTTAAATCTATTTTACTTTCAGTTGTATAAATATAAGACTTAGTTTATGTTTTTAATTACTTTTAAATTATTCTTATGATAGGAAAAGCTGAGAAAGGCTACAGAGATTAGAAGTCTCTTATAAAGAGCTAATATCAGTAGAAAAGAAAAAGAATAAAGATTTACCATTATGTTAATCAGATTTTAGGATAGTTTTCACTATCATTTCAGCCTAAATAATATTTTTAATATTTTAAATCAGGTGACGTAAGTTTTACTGAACTTTAATTTATGTATGTTCATAAGTAACTAGGTAGCCTTAACATTAGGAGATTACACGGTTCTACTGTGTGCATTACCTTCCTGTAGTAGGATGTTGAAACTGAAAATTTTAAACATTGTGAAAAAATTTCATAAATATTTATATATTTTTAATAGTTCTTACGGAGATATCTGAACTTTTTTCCCATCAGAATAAATACTAACGTGTTTATGACTGTTTTAGACTTGGAGAGACGAACAAAAACTTTTTTAAAAAATTTGATGTAGCGCCACCATTTTTCATAGGTATTTTAATAATAGAACAAACTACACAATTCCAATAGAGCATTTCTTTGAATAGCTGTTGAATAATTTGAAATGGGGTACATCAGTTCTTTTAATTATTATAATCAGAGATAAAGCCATCTCACTACTTACTTTTGAGTTCTATGTTTATCTAGATACACAATCACATATAGGAGTATGTATCACATAAAGGATACAGTTTATTTTGCCTGGCCCTAATATCCAAATGAGTAAGTCATGTGATATTGACAGGATTCTTGATTTTCTGGCTTTACAAACCTTTGTAAAAGATTCATTCAGTATCTTATACCTACATCTAGTCTCTACTCTCCCACGTTTTTTATTTCCTCTCAATATATGTACATTGTGCCTAATTAGAACTACATAAGAATCTCTATCTATGCTTTCCAGTGGTCAGCCACTAGTCACAAGTGGCTCCAACCGGAGATATGCTACTAGTACAAAAAAGAATTATAATAAAATTTCTCAAAATAATTTTTGTATTACATGTTAAAAAATATTTGTGATGTTAATATTACTTGTTTCTTGTTTAATATACTTACTAGAAAACATAAAATTTCATAAACAGCTTTCATAATGTTTCTCAGGATCTGGATGACTGAGCAAATCACTGGGACCATTCCCATTCTGCAATCAGACTTTTGTTTATTTCTTTGCAAGTATTACTCTTGTCTGCCTCCCTGACTCATTTTTCATCTCACCTGAAAGCAGATACACTTTTTTGTTGTTGTTGTTTATTTACCTTAACATTCTACTCAGTATTTGGCACCAAATTAGTGCTAAATAAATGTTAAATATAAAGTATTCATTTTAATGCTTGTTTGCTTTACATATATCTTTAAAATGATACATCAGTATTTCCTTTCCTTGACTCATTTTACTTCGGTGAATTTTTAAAAATCTAATGTATCTATTGATATTTTGCTGTTTCAGGAACATGAGTGTAATAGAAAGCTTACATCAAAAAAAGGGGGTTGCAGGGGTGGTAAATACAAATGAGAAGACCATAAGTTGTTGAGACTATATTTATGTAATTCTTTGGTTATGTGTCCAACAACTTGTTGGTAATTAAGTTAGTGATGAGATCTAAAAATAAACAAAACAAAAAGATATATTATAATTTCATTTTTGATGTAAACCGAAACAGCCTAGCAGTATAGTGACAGTCTTTATGAAGGACATTAAGTGTGCAGAAAACATGAAGTGAAAATTATAGTTTTGTTTATCTTATTCCTGTTGAAGCCAAAAAACAAATAAATCCCTGAGAGTATTGGTGTACAATATCCAAGAAGTTTGCATTTTTTAACACAAATGTCTAAAAATTACCTAATTTCCTGTGATTTCTAAGTCAGATTTCTCTGAAAGATAACAGACTGTGTTCTACTTGCTGTCATCCTGATTGTAATTAAAAATATTATATGCTAAATAGTGAATACTAAAATTATGTAATAGAATTAGATTATTTAGAGTTTCTGTTTACCTGTCATGAGACTGAATTAATAGAAACAAACTTTGTATAGGACTGAGTTTTCTTTCAGAATCTTTTCTTTCAGAATTTCTAAATTTCAAAGTACTAGTCTTATGTACTGATTTTACAATCTCATAAAGCTTTTTAAAAATAATGTGTTAATTACAAATTTTAGCTTTCTTAAGTATTCTCTTTTGTTGTTTGTATTTGTCAGATTAGATATCATTTTATTTATTTTCCATTTCCATGTCTTCTGAACATTTTAATAAGAAAGTACTATATACATTAATGTTTCTAAAAGATTTTTTTTTTCACATAGTTGCTAGCATTTCCTGAAAGAAAACAATAACCGTATAAGAAACAGTGTTGCCTTCTTAGGATAGTATTCTGATTCTAGCTGCATAACCATATGATATCCACAGACCATCAAATAAAGTTTGTTTAGGAAATTTGAGAAATGTTTTAATATGGAAGTTAGAGTAATAACTAAGACAATAGATGTCTTTCTTGCTTTTGTTATTAATATTGAGGGAAATTAATTAAAGATATAAACTTGAATTGAAAATTTGAATATGATCCAGAGAGTGTGATATTTATCTCATAGAATGGATAGGAGAAATTATAATAGTGAAACTTTTAGCAAAACAGATTTAAAGATAATATTTAACATTTATTGTGTATTCTGTGTGATAATTTTCTAAGAGATATTTAATTTAAATAGTTTAGTCCTCATAACTACCTTTTGAGGCCATTGCTATTACATTGTACTTCTTACTGATAGGGGAACTGCTGAGAGGTTAAATACTTTACTAAGCATTATACAGCTATGTTATGGAAGTCAGCATTCAAGCCCTGTGGTCTGTCTTTACAACCCCTGCACTGATTGTGGTTTTTCTTGGAAAGTCTAAATACATCAGTGTAGTTAGACAACTTGGTTAGTCAGCTTTTGCTTTGCATATACTCATATTAGGTGGGATCACTATGATATGACTTATTTCTGATGTGCTTTTCTACTGCCATTTTGTTTGGGGATAAAAGCACATATAATATGCATCTATGTGGAAAACATATCCTCTCTTCCACAAAATAAGGAGTTGGTTTGAAATATTTACTATAAGAAATAAATATCTTTTGGATGGATGAATAGGTAGGTAGGTAGGTAGGTAGGTAGGTAGACAGAACTATATTAAAATTAAAGAATTATTAGAAGCCACTAGTTGATAACTGTTCTTATTATTTTGAAACTAATTTTATATTTAAGAAATCCTTAACTATCCCCAATTTTTTTAAATGTGGGGCTACTGTAGTAATTAAATCATCATATCAAGTTTACAATTTCATAACAAAGGCATGGTAATCAACAATATAGGAAAGATAAGCAATGTGCATTAGGTTTTTGTTCTTTACATATTTATAAAATCAAATGCTAAGGTGTAAGTAATATTCTTCTTCTCTACCCCCCTCATCCCCATCCCCCCAAAAAAAGAATGTAAAGTGTTGCCATTGCATTTAATGTGTCAGCACGTTAACAAATTATTTCCACTATGGTTCATTTTAGATACAAATCTGCCTAACTAATACCTTCATTTTAAGAGGTAAGAGATTTACTCATTTGAATGTATTTGTCCATATTACTTATATCCCCTTGTCTCTTTCTGTCCCTGAGCTCTCAGGTAGCTGGGATGTTGCTATTCTGAGTAACCTGGTAGATCCCTAGAGACAATTCTAGCTCAACCACTCTGAAGAAACAGCTCTGTAAACAGTATTGACCCCCCAGGGGACCATCAAATCCGTTTACACAGATACCAGTTGTCACAAACTATTTACAAAGCCAGGCAGAACAGAATTTCCCAGCCTCTAAGAATTTGTATTTGATTCTAACCATCTCTTTACTTCTGTGTAGTAGTCATGAAATAAAGGTTATTTTCGATTATTAATAATTATCTCTTGGGTAGCATCAATTTAACTGAGAATATTATACATTAATCTGTAATTGTATGGAGAATACAACTTAAAAGGGGATCTTATAGCTTTCTTTTCTAAGATAGGAAATAGTATCATTATACTGTTAATTTTCTACACTAAGGAATTGAGGATTTAATACTAGCATTGAGTTGGCAGAACTGACATCCCCAGAAGTAAAGAAAGAATTCATTAGATCACAAAAATGATCCATTGAAAACAGCATGAAAGTCACTAGAGAGAGTGATGGGATCTTCAAAGCACATAATGCAGCTACTACCATGCACACATATTAAATACCAAGTTAAAAAATAAATTCACCAAATCCACCTGATTTTTCCAGATGAATAACTCTAGCAATAGCTATAGGGGTCATTTTAGATGAATACCTGGTAATAGTAGTGTCCATAGTATCATTTTTAGATAGTTAGAGAATGATTTTAGTATAGTATCTAATGATAGCATTAGATACTAAAAGCAAATTTTGGGAAGTATATTTTGATACAATTGAATTCTCATATCCAATAAAACAGTGTGCCTACGGAACAGCAAATAAAGGAATTGATGCAGTTATAAAGATTTTCCATTTTAAATCTCAAAATCAGACTTAATAGACTTATGAATTATGAAGAAGAGATTAATTTAGTCTCTGAATTCATATGGAGAGATGAATTTAAATAATATTCAGTTGGTCAAAATGATAGAACAGTTAACAATGACCTTGATTAAACACAGATGTGAATTACTAAAGAGTGTTTCCAAACCATGTGAAATAGAAGAATCAATAGAATGGTTTTAGTTTTTTAAGTTTTCATCTACCTAGAGATAAGTTTAAATCAGAAGTGAATATCTTTTTGTTTAACATTTATCTTTTTAATTGATTAGTGTGCAAAACAGTCCTTAACTTCACTTTTATGGCCTTTTATTGGCTTACACATTTATATTTCTTTATGTAGGTCTTTAAAAATTGAAGGGCCAGTACAAATAAGCTCAGCTAAAGTTTTTAGTAGCTTCATCCCAGTATCGTTTCTTAAAGCTCTTTCTCCTGGGTTGAAGATTTTAGGAAAATAATTAAAGACTGAATTTAGAATTACTCTTCTCTTGGTTGGAGTAAGTACTAATTTAGAAGTTGTATATAAATTGGGTTTTTGAATAAGGAAATGAAAATTGGTCAAAATGTAAGATGATAGAACAGTACCTTGAAATTCTTCTTGAAAGGTCAAAAGTATTACACTTGCTACTTGCTCTCAAATATTTCAAAAAATTTGGATGTAGTTAGATAAGGAAACAAAAATATTAAAGTGAATATGATAAAATGTTAATATATGCGAAACTAGGAAAAGAGTATATAGGAATTCTTTGTACTGTTTTTGCAATGTTTTTAATAAGACTAAGTATTTTAAATTAACAGGTAAAAAGAATATTCTCTGTCATCACTTTTTGTTGGCTTTTTCATCTGTCTTCTTTAACATCTTTTTTCTGTAGTCATTGAAAACTCATATGTCTGGCTTCCATTTCTACTTTTCACTTCCTGCCATTTTGCTAGATGACTTTAGTTCCTTCAGAATAACACTTTAAGCACACTGATCCCTTAGCGTCCTCTTCTCATCAGCTTGTTTGATCAACACATTTCCAGATGAAGTGCATCTTGGACTTTGTCCTTACCTGTTTATTATTTTAGGAATCTTCACTCCTTGTCAAATTTTCTCCTTTCGATAAAAGAAATATCTCTGTTTTTCCCAAATCTTTTCCTTCTCCTCTTTATCCATTCCAATTCTTCTTTTCTCCTCCTTTTATTATAGTCTGCCAATGTTTTTTTTGAGTATGCTAAACTTTAACTCTTTGGCAGTTCTGTACTTTGCATATTCCCATGTGTCTTTTTTTAAAGCAAATTCCTTCATGAGGTCCTGTAGAGTCTTCCAGTTGAATATTAGTATGTCTAAAATATGCTGTAAAGATTTTGCCTAGATCTTGTTACATTTTGTTCAGATCAATGAATAAGTTTGCTGTCATCATTGATATATAAAGTCCTTGAGGGAAATGTCTGTTTCTCATATTTGTTTTCACAGTACCTATCACAGAACATATGATGCTTTGGGGTGTTCCTGAATAAGTAAATTAATTTGAAAGGTCAGATGTAATACTTAAATAGGATACTGCAGTATGGCAGAGAGAAAGAGCATTGAAAACTTTCAGGGGATTGAACAATAGTTTGCTAATATCAATCAGTCTCTTTTACTCTAAAGTAAAATTAAATTCTTAGTAGAAAAATATGGATATTCCAATTTGCAGAGCAGTCTTCAAATGTCTGATGGGTAGTTCAAATTAATAAAGCTTTTACTACTGGAAAAATTTAGAAATATCCAGAAATAGATTCAAATCACACCACATAGGTTCTTTAAAACAAAAATTTTAAATATTAACTTTTAAACATCTTAAAATTAAAATCCAGAAGTGCCAGAAATTGATGCATTTTTAAAAATAATACTTCAAGGGCCTATAATTACTAAGATCCTTAAGGGATTAGCAGAGACCTCTTATTGGAAAGCTTTCATGTCTACTGTAAGACTTTGAAGAAAATAGCCCAGTTACAGGTAAAATAATGGTAAAGAAAGAGAGCTGTAAAACTATTAAGCAAATAGCAAGTGTAGATATCAGGAATGGGCTAAGGGAAACACTAGGTTAGGAATAAAAGGATCAAAGAAGAAAGATACTGAACTAAACCTATGAGTAGAGAAGGTGGGGAAATGGAACAAGTTTAGATAATGTTAAATTTGGTCTCAACTAGGTCAAAGAGGACTGAAGAGTATTAAAACAGTTGGTGTGGTGTTATCACAGGGAAAAGGGATTTTTATGTAGTTGGCAGTACTCCATGGTTCAATTCTGTTTCCTTTTGAAGAATGTTTGTACCTCATAAACTGAAATATGGTATTTGGCCCTAAAAATTTTTATGATATGTCTCTGAGTACTATTTTTGTTATTTTGATATTAATTTCAGTAATACAATTCTTTTCATTGAATTAATTATACAGATATATGCTAGTGTTGGAAAACATGATTTGTTAATGATATAAAGGATTTTCTTAGTTCCATTTATCAAATTTCTTTCTTCAGATTTTGAGGATTCCATTCCACTAATTAATACTAGCCTATCCTAGAAAAACAGGATGGTGAATGAACTAAAGCAAATTAAATATAGAGTTCTAAGATGTCAAAAGCTGTCAAGTGATCTTCAGTTACAAGATTTCAGTTTCTAACATTATTAGTTTAAACAGAATATAACATTAAAATGTCCTAGCTAGCCCACAATATATAATTATGATAGCACTTTCTCTCTTCTAATACACATTCTCCTCAATGTGGAGTCAAAAGTAATTTTTTAAAAAACAAATTATTTATAGATAGAAGTAGATTCACTACTAGCTACTCATAAGAACAAAATCCAGATTTGGATTAACTGGCTATATTTATCATAAGTAATATATTTAGAAAAAATAAGTTCCTTATTTGTGAATTTTTTTTTTCTTTTTTTTTATTCTAAAACTACTTTTTTTCCTCAAAAGGATTTAAAGTTTGATGCTTTGGAGAAGTCATCACCAGAAAGCAGGTGAGATTCATATGCTTCTTAAAGACTTGTTTCTGTTGAAGTTAAAAAGTACTAATTACAATCAATATTAGACTTGCTCTTTTGATTTACTAGTGAAAAAACTTTTTTGTATATGTGTAAGATTTTCCCCCCAAAATTTATTATACCACTAAATATAGACTGTTCCTATGAAATAGTTAATATTTACTAAGTACAACTTAAAATATTTTTTGTGAGATAGCCAAGCATTACAAAGTAGATTCCCTTGTATATATAGTGCATTTCTGATAAAATGTTATAGTGATTATTATAAAAATAATAGCTAATGTTTATTGTAGTGTCTAGTACTAGAGCAATTACTTAGTTAGCTTAGTCCTCACAACAACTCATACAAGTGTTATTTTGTTTGTATTTTATGAATGGGTTAAATAACTCATCCAATATTTTGCCGTTAGCAAAGCTGGAATTACTTCACTGTAATCATTATTTTATTGTATCCTATTTTGAGGAATTTTGAAAATAATATCTGTGATTCATTAGTTCTTAATGTTGAGTATATCCAGGAATTATTTGGGGAGATTTTAAAGTAGGAACTAGCAGGGCATGGTGGCACACACCTGTAATTCTAATGGCTTCTGAGGCTAAAGCAAGAGGATCACAGGTTCAAAGCAAGCCTCAGCAACTTAGTGAAGGTCTAAGCAACTTAACAAGACCCTGTCTCAAAAAAAAAAAAAAAAAAAAAGTGCTGGAGGTGTGGCTCAGTGTCTTAGCACCCTTGAGGTCAATATGCCATACTACCAAAAAAAAAAAAAAAAGGTAGGGATGGGATCATATTGTCTAGGGACTAGGTCCTTACTCTGAACTTTGGATTCTTAAAAACTCCTTGTCATTCCAACATTTAAATATGATGTAAACCACTGTCCTAAATGTCTTTTGATTGTGAAAATGGGAATATGAGTGGCAAGCACCACTCTGTACATGTTTATCTTATTATAATAAGACTAATAAGTACATATTTCAAGCCATGAAAAAATATTCATTTGATTGAACACGTTTTAACATATAGTTATGGCATTTAATATAATTTGTTATTTTATTTGTTTACATACAGATATAGCCCACATTTATCTTGAACAAGATACTGTTGGGATAAATAAAAGTACATAGATAGATGAGCAACTCACTATGAATTCTGAGGGAAGCATGCATCAGAAATCCAGTGAGTTAGCTAATGAAGTCACATATGAGGACCCTGAAATACCAGGGTGGAAATCTAGGAATTTTCAGATCTTCAGCCCTTATCCAGATGATGAGACATCTGAAAAATGCAAGTGAGTTCTGTCAACCTTAGTTCTAGAAATTAAACATTAAGAGAACTTTTCCTTCCTTTCTTCCTATATATATATATTGTTTTTATGATATTGATGAAATAAGTCTAGATAGCTAAGTGTAAATGCTTAGGTGAGTTTGAAGGAAAGCAATGAGGTTTTATTCCTTGTTCAATTTTATTTTCTGTGGCCTTTCATTATGGATATGAAAATGACTTTTAAATTGCTATAAATGGGGTATCATTCATCAAAGCCAAACAGTCAGTTCTAGCACAAATTAAGCCCAAAGATCTTTTGGTTTGGGTTAGCACTTATTTTCATTTAAATGAATTTGAATTCTTTTAAAAAGCTCTTCCACTTTACATTTTACCTTCCTTCTTATTTTATGTCCTATAGCTTTTACCTATCCACTTTGTCTATCTCATGAAGGAATTTGAATTTGTGATTCCTATGACATGATAATAGTCATGTGCTATAAAAATAATCTGAGATTAAAATATTCAATGATAATATAATTGTACTTTCAATCTAGACAAAATCATATTTTCTAGAATACTATTTTAACAGAGTTTTGCATTGAAATTGCTATTTCCATTTACTTGCAAGTTATTCAGTAAATATGTTTTTGAGTGAATTTAACACATAATGAAGTAGATACTATATTGATTTGTTCCTGTATTGATTTGGTATGTTTTAGGGGGTTGAGGCAGGAATGAATGAAGAAGGCATAAACATTTCTATGAACACATGAGGAAAACGAACAGTAGAGCTTGGGCTAACGACATATTATGGGATCTCTGGTATAATTGCAACAGAAGATTATGGAAAGTACTGCTACACTGACTGTCCTAAACCTCACTGCTAAATTTCCTCTTAATGACTCCATATTTACCTATGCTTACAAATTGAATATAATGCCTTCAAAAAACAGTCCATATCCTCTCCCTTCCCTTCCTTTATACTACTTGATTACAAGTTGATACTCTTCTCAAATAGCCTTCAAAATGTCAAAACATTTCATTTCACTTACTCTTAAATGTTACACGAATAGGTTTTTATTTGAAAGTTTTGAATAGTGAAATATGATATTCTTTCCCCCAAAATAAAAAACTTACTTGACTTTTGTTTTCATTTTCAGAAAAGCAAGAAATTTAAGTAGAATCTCAACCTAAAATACAAATTGTAATAATATTTAGAGCCTCTAAAACCTAAACTGAAATAATATTTATAGCCTCTGAAGCCTGAATTATTTTATCAGATAAACTCAACCATAAGTCTCAGATGATGCTAAATGGCTTTTCATAAATTTAACTTTCATAGTTGATAAATTGGCAACTCTGTGACATTATGTTCTTTTTATCTATAATATTCTCTTATGTTCATAAAAAGACATTGTAAAATGGGTACCTTCGCCTATTATTAAAATTAAATCTGAAGTATAAAATTTATATATCCTGTATAAAGTTGTACATATATATTGTGTAATGATTTCCTTTATTGCAGAATTATGGAACAAAGAAAGAATGAATTGCATTATGAACATATGATTCCTTGTCAAGTTACTCCAGACCTAAATAAAGAGACAACTGTAGCATTTCTTCTAAAAGAATTGGATATTCTCAGAACAAGCAATAAAAAGGTATAATACAGAAAGCCTGATCATTGTACAATAGCTTTCAGCTGTTGACCTTCTCAGTTTTCTTTGTGGCCCATCATTTTTCAGTTTTATTGTGTACTAGAAATAATGTAGTACTCAGTAGTTGTGTACTTTTTGTTATCATATCTTGTCATCAATGTGAGTCAAGTCATTGGTTGTAAAAGTAATTTTTTATTTTTCTGCCTTGCTAGTCAGTGATCTCATTTTGTTTTTCATAAATTTTGGGCACCTTATATAGGTATCTTAAAAAAAAAAGACTAAGTTTCTACCACAGTAAAACTTTCAGCATTATAAAGAATAAAAAATATTATAGACAGTTTCTTTACTTTCTTAATTTTTTTATTAGTATATGTACCCTATATTTTACCCCAATAATATATGTAATTGGACATTATAATAGCAAGGCCTGCTGATCTTTTCATTTACTTTGGGTTATACTGTTGCATTTGATCTAATCCATTTGTCTTATCATGTTTTATTTTATTATTGACTCTTATTCTAGGTACATTCCTCTGAGCACTAAATAATGTTAATAAATAATGTTCCTTTTTTTAAAAAAAAAATTCTACATGCTTTTCTGATTTTTTTATATTTTCACTGTTTGACCTAACCAAACTGATGCACGATGTTAGGAATATTGATCACGTCTAAAGGAAAACAACACAAATGACAAAAGCCTGGGGAGGAATTAAAAATAAGAAACATGTAGAAGAATTCTCATATGAGAGCATGAGACATTTTCTGTACTTTGATTTATCAATCGCTACATGACAATTGTGAGTCTGGTACCAGTGTCAACTTAAAAGGAATATGACAAGGTGGCATTTACAGAGGCAGATTTGTACCAGATATTATGATTATTATCTTAATTAATTTTGTTTCAAAATATTGGAAGTACTAAGAAGCTATAAAACTGAAACATCCATTATTTTATTAGTAGTGGCCCATCTAAACCTTTTGCTTAAACAAAAAATAGGTGAGATTGCTTTTACAGTAATTATTTTTATAATAATATTGTACTTCTTAGTTTTATCTACATACAAATTAAGTATGTAATAGAATATTTTTATAATTATGATTATAGGTAATCATTACTTTATAAAATATCTTTCAAGCTTAATTTTTTACCCTGGAGTTCATAAATTTAGATAATTGAATGTAATATTATATAAAGGCTTAAGAAACAACAAAATTTTACTTTGGGATTAATCATAAATCTAGAAGACATTTTAAAGTGTTTTTATTAGTATATATAATTATATACAACAGTGGTATTCATTTTGAGAGGAAGACATTTTTAGATAAGAATTTATATTTTTAAATGTGTTTTAGCTTCAAGAAAAACTGGCTAAAGAGGATAAAGAACAGAGAAAATTAAAGCTTAAACTGGAACTCCAAGAGAAAGCAGCAGAAGCTAAAATTGCTGAAAAGGCAGCAGGTATAGTAGATGAGTTTTAGCATACAGCCTGATGAATCACATACACGGTTATTATATGATGTGTCTTGGTGAATACTAGCATACTGCCGTATTTGCCAAAGGTGGGAAAGCTCTGTCTTTTTTTTTTTTTTTTTGGCTGCTTAGAAAATAGGTGGCTTTAACATCCTGGTACTGGTATTAGTGAGAGCTTTACCTGTATTCATACTGATTTGGGCATTAAATGCATTGTTAACACCATGTCAATCCAATCACAAAAAGGTTGTTTGTTTTGTTGGAAGGGCCTGAACAAACAAGGGGAAATAATGATTACCAGTGCCTCTACCTTTCAACCAGCAGTTCAAATACCACTTATTTTTTTAGCTCGTTGAGAGGAAATATTTCCCCTTCGTATGAAGATAATCATATATTCATTACAAAGGAAATCTGCATTTGATTAAAAAAAACTGTTTTGTACAATTAAGACGTTAAAATTTGATTACATAGATAACGATAAGAGATCATGTTTTCCCTGAGATTCAAGTGACAGGTTGCCACAGTTTAATGTTATAAATGACTGCCTTAAATATATTTTTGGAATCTTATCTTTATTCACAGGTCTTTTCAAGGGGAAAATTTTTTTTAACATATCTGTGATATGTTACAGATATAAGCAAATGATTCTCAAGTCTGTGATATTCATTTATGTGTGTCAGTGTGGCTCTTTCCTTCATATTGTTTTCATGTGTTAAGAGAAATTTAATAAAATAGTACATGTTAGCATTCAGTGGCATTTTCACTAATTTAACATTTTTACATCAGTTGCAATGATTTTTTAAAATAACTTATTTTGTGATTAGACTGAGGTTATAAGTATGTTTTATAAGCCACCTATAAAAGAATCTTGGTATCTAAGGTAAGATAAATGATTAATTAGTATAGCCTGTCTTCAAATATTATTTTGGAAAATAGAACTAAACATCATGAAGATATAACCAAGATGACCATGAATAAGTACGCCAGCTGAACACCATCATTGCTTTACTATTAATGTTAAACTGCTATAATGTTTTTGTTTATTTATTGTTGGGGAAATTATGACAGTAATATATTTTAAGGAAAATTAATAGTGTTAAAATGAATAATTCAAGTTTAGAATAATTTAGGAATTTTCTGGGTTTTTATAATCAAATACACCCATATATGTATATACATATTAACTGTTAGGATGGTATTACATATAGAAAGTATGCTTGTTTAGAGGTATAGACATAAAAATTTAACTTTTCATATATCTTACAGAAGTAATTGGATAATTTTGGGACATTAAGACTTATTGAGAATCATGAGCATAGCATATATCTCCTAGGGTGCTCATTAAGCAGTTAAATCTGTTGTATAATATAGCTAAGCATGCCCTTTAAATATTTATTGATATATTTAAGGTTCCCCTGGATAGAACATTTGAAACATGCATGCATAACATGGAGAAAATTTGATTACCTTATAATTCTTATTAATCACAAAACAATCTGTTTCAAGAGATGTGTCCAAAAGAAAAATGTCAAAACACTGTCATGAAAGTGAGATAAAATAAAAATCCTTCAAAAAGTTTTTTAAAGTATTAATTTTCAATTTGATTTTTGTTTTTTAATGTTTCACTTCTACCTTATTTAAGAAACATACTTGTAACATTAGAGAGGATTATTACTGTTATATCAAATTTTAATAATAGTGAATTGCTTAAAAATCCACTGTTTTGAAACTCTGAAAACTGTAATCCCTTAGTGAGCTCATTTCTAATTATATGCACAGTCTTTTAAAAATATTTTAAAGCCAGGAGCAGTGGCACATGCCTATAGAACCAGTAGCTTAGGAGGTTGAGGCAGAAGGATAGAAAGTTCAAAGCCAGCCTCATCAACTTAGCAAGACCCTTAGCAACTTAGCAATACTCTGTCTCAAAATAAAAAATTTAAAAAAGAGCTGGGAATGTATATATTTATTTATATAATATGATATACATCTTATATAAATGTATAAACTATTTCATTTTGATGAATTCATAAGTGCATTTAATGTAATTTTCTCCATTTCAATCTTTTTTAAAAAATGCATTTACTTTTATTTTTTTTAAAGAGAGAGAGAGAAAATTTTAATTTTTTTTTTTTTTTTTAGTTATCAGCAGACACAGAATCTTTGTTTGTATGTGGTGCTGAGGATCGAACCCTGGCCGCACGCATGCCAGGCAAGCGCACCACCACTTGAGCCACATCCCCAGCCCATCCATTTCAATCTTTAGGACTATCCCCTTCCCTCTCTTCTTTCTTCTCCCTCTTATCTTCCTCTACCCCAGTGATCTTAAGTACACTTATTTTCTATCTGATCAGTACCAAGTGTACTCAAAAAGCAAAACATAATAGAAACAACCATGTTAGTATTTTAAGAGAAAGAGGAATAGTATGGAATTATGATTACATGTTATAAGTTCTGTTTCCTATAACAAATGGTCCACATAAGTATAGGTGTTTTTTCTATCACTACTTTTTTATATTCAAAATAAAAAGTGTATTTGGTAATATATATTATTAGTATACACAATGTCTAAGTAATGTACTTAAGCAAATTATGTTTAAAAACATCAAACTATTCCACAATAAAAGAATTGTAAAAACATCCGAACCAAATATTAAAAATAGCAGCAAACAAAAATATATGACACTAGAGAATTTTTTTAAATGTTAAAATATGATGGAAAAAGCAGTCATTTTCTTTGAGTATATAAAATAAACATATACACAGTATGTTCACACAGCTTTAGTTATGATTGCAAGAGAATCAGAAACAGTCTAACAATAAGGAAATTGTTAGATTATAGCACATTTATACTGTGAGACTTTCCAAAGAATATTTGATGATATGCAAAAAAGTCTTTATAACTCAATGTTAAATGAAAGCTGTAAGGGAAAAACTATATAAATATAATTTTGTTAAAAGAAACAATATTCATACGTGTCTTATGTAGAATGAGAGAGAAGTTTGAGTGTTATTTTAATGGAGCTATTGGTTCAGTGAATGGTTTCTGTCTTTTTCAGGCTTTGTACAATGAACATGTATTAGATTTAGTTTAGTTTTAGAAAAAGTCAATATTACTTTTAAGAAGTGATTTAAAAAAATACTTGCATTCGAATGTTAAAAAAATATCCTATGATAGGTTTGAGACATAATGACCATATAAACCAAAGTTTTATGGAAACCATCTGATATCTATGATCCGGTCTTGCCATTTTACTCATGCAGGTTTTCTGGTCTTTGAGATTTGCTCCGTATTTATCTTTATATCTGTATGTGTATCATGTAACTTATGTATACATTAATCTTGTCTTCCCAACTGGCTGTATAATTTATAAGACTAAGAATCTGATACAGTTAAACCACATAAAAGAAAATGTGTCCAGTTCTCCTTAGGCAGTTTGATGTAAACTGGGAGACCAAAAGCCTTGGATTAGTCCTAGGTTAAAATCAGTTTTAACAGTTAATATTGATTGTATGCCTTTGGGTGGGTTTCTTAACCTCTCTTGACTTTTTCCCATGGTAAAAAAATAATGATAACTTACAGGTTATTTTAAGGATTAAAGACAATGGTAAAATCACCTATTTTATAACTAGTACTCAATATGTTATAGCTTTATTTAATATTGTATAACATTATATTATTTTCATAAATTCTTGAACTTTTGATAATGTCATTGTCAAAATTTATGATATTTTATTCTATTTAGTTTTTATATGAAAAACTATATATATATATGGAATACACACACAGAGCACTAATACATTTTACTAATATGTGAATCCAGAATAAAAGAAATGGCATACAAAGGATTTGGGCTTGTATCCCTATGATAAACCATCATGAAATAATGTTCTTTGTTTCAAATCTTTTGCTTTGTTTTCCTTTGGTTTTTATAGAATATGAACAGTGTCATTCTATATGATTTTATGTGTGTTTGAAACTCAGTTGTATCCTCTATCATGGTTAAATCTCAGATGGTTGACCCTTTTACCTTCCCTTCCTTTTTGTACATCACTGTTATCATCATCATTACCATTGGCACTGATTATTATACACTTCAATATTTTATAAGAACAATGCTTAACTTCTTTACCAGTTGAATAAGAAAGTTTATCTAGAGGCCCTTAGGTACAAGGCACTGCGTTAACCACTGGACATACATCAACAAATAAGACAGATTTCAATCATTTTTTTTTCCCATCACTTCACAATCATATACCATACATGTGTGGGTAGATAGTGGTTAAATTCTCCGACTTTGGATTTAGACCTTTGTTCTAATCTTTTTACCACTTATCATGTATAATAACACCTTCACTAAGCCTTGGTTAAAACCTACTACAGGTGGCTATGACATTTAAGTGAGATAATATTTATGAAGTGCTTAATCCATAGAAGTTACTCAGTAAATTATAGCTGTGGTGATGACAACTTTGTCACCATCATTTTTCTTCAGACTTCTTCATTTAAAGGGGATATAATCAAAGTGTTTCTCATAGTTCTGGAGTTATATAAGAAACTTGTTGCATACTAATTCTATACACATATAACTACCCCATTGTTATTTATATATGGTTTTGTTTTACAAAGAATAAATTTCTGTTTTTTTTAAAGTATATTGATTATTTCAATAAAATGAACCTCAGTATTTTTCTAGGGATAATGAATACCCACTCTTTATTTTCTGTGGTGCTAGGGATCAAAACTCAGGGCCTCAGGCATGCTAAGCAAGCTCTCAACCACTGGGCTACATCCCCTGCTCTTTTATTATTTATTTTGAGACACAGTCTCTAAGTTGTTCAGGCCAGTTTCAAACTTACTATCCTTCTGTCTCTGCCTCCTGAAGTAGCTAGGAATATGGCTGTGTGTCATCTCCCATGTGCCAGTTTTTCATTTTGTCTAATTTTTCATTTTAATCTTATTGAGAAAGTTGGAAAATATGATAAAATTT